GAGCAGCGTTGTGTGGAGCAATTTCACAACTGGCAATTAAAACTTAGCGAACTGTGATGTGTGCAAGAAGACAGTTCGCTACTTTGGCCACTTTGTATTGTTATTTTTCATGTTTGCACTTTAAATTTGCAAAAGTAAAACGTGTATTTGTCTATAAAAACTGTCCTGTCTTTATTCATGAAAATGAATTCAGATTTAGTCTATTTATGATGATTTCAGCTCAAAAATCATGTCATGCAGCTCTCCCCTATATGAAAGTACATAAGACGCTTTTCATTTAAAAAAAGTATCGGTATCGATATCGGTATCGGCGATACTGGCCCTGAAATACTTGGTATCGGATCGAATCCAGATTTTGTGGTATCGCCCACCCCTACTGCTTGTAGGCAGGCATGACAGTCGACCCATGTTCAGGGGAGGTGGGTTTAGTTTCCTGCACGCCTCGACGTAACGTCTCTCGCCTCGAATTTTTTGGAGCTGGAAGTGAACCGGATTCCGGAGCTAAGAGCCGGCGCCGTTGCGGTGTGAACAGGAAACACCGGCGCTTTTCAGGCTCCAGCTCCGAGCCGGAGCTGAAAAAGCGCTGGTGTGAAAGGGGCATGTGTCATCACATACAGTATAGGTTGCCATTACGTAAGAGTTCTCATGTTAACAGCGGGTTTAGGAGTCATAAGCGTCTGCTCTTTGTTATCGTAGCAGAGACGGGACTCAGCTTCCCCAGATTCTCTTTCCTGTCTGAATTTTAAATACTTCTGCAGGCAATCCCTACTGCCAGATGGAACAAATGACACAGAGCTTAAACTGTACCTCTGTAGGTCTGCCCCCTCCTCAACCCAGCAGAATGTACTCCCACACACTCAAATGTCTTTCTCATGAATCCTCCACTTTCCTCCAAAATGACGGAAAGTATGAGGTTTTTTACCGGTCATTTCCCTGTGGTCTGCAAGATGCTGTCGTAATGCTGAGTCAGGAGTGTGAGATCATAGCCCCCCCATAGATGGGTGTGTGATAGACCCTTAGGTATGCACATTGTAGATATAAGGGTCCCCTTAAATCCTTTAAAAAGTCTGTAGACGTCTTAAATTCAGTTTTTGATATTCAATATCACTTTATGTATGGGAGGTCTGTATTGTTTGGTGCCCCGTAAACCTCCTGACCCTTGGTTTCTGCCTTGCCCTTTGATGCTTGGGCCCGCATGACATACAGTACAGAACTTTTATAGAAGTTACTTTTTGTCATGGTTTTTATTAAATTTGTATTGACTATACTATGTATTTTGTAAATATATTTGTTATACACACTATGCTATGAGTTCTTTAAATGAAGCACAATACTATGACATTTTTAATAGCTTTTTATTTATTACATACGATACTTTTATTTTCAAAAATGTCATAATATAATGTGTCATTTTTATATGACATGCTTTACTGTGACTTTTATTAATAATAAATGTTAACATCTTGTACTTTTTTAATGGATTTTTTTATGAATCTCTTTGACCTGCTAAACTATTTAAAAAACGTTTTGATGAAATTCTATATTATTACTTAATAAAATAATAAAAAATACATATTATACCTTGATTTAAAAAAAAGGTTTTTAAATACCATATCAAAACATTTTGAATACATGTGTTCACGTCTATTATGATCATTTTTAAGGATGCACTATACTATCTCTTATAATAATGACATTAATTGCATTTTAACATATACCATAACTTTGTTGTGAATTTTTAACTATAATATGAATTTTATTATTATTATTTTATTTTGTACTTACCATACTATGGTTTTTATAAATCCTTGTATTCCTCTTTGATCAGGAAACGTGGTACTGGCAAGGAGACGTCTCAGCTGATGCCGTCGTGATGAGTGGAGTGAGATGTTCAGGGACTGAGCTGACTCTGGATCAGTGTCTGCATCACGGGAAACACGTCCTCTGTCCCAAAGGAGGTGGACGCTTCTCTGCGGGGGTCTCCTGTACTCAGAGTAAGAAACTGTAGATTAAAGATACTACAGACATTAAGATCTTTTTGAAGTGTTCAAGGCTCAAGTACAATTCAAATGAATGTCATTGTGCAACAAAGATTTGTGAAACCACTTTAAGTTGAAGTTCAAGTTGTTGTCACAATGGGAGTTGTCACATCTGTAAGTGATAGAACAAATGCTGCTTGCGTGTGGCTGCTTTTGCTTCAGATTTCTGGTACTCTGCGTGCTGGCTCGTTCTCATTACTCACAGGGGCTCTAGAAGGAACAGAGCCGTTGTTATTGTCATAAATAAACTCTGAATTGTTCCTGCTATGACTAGTCAAAATGTCTGCTATGAAGTAGGCCTGGGAACTGGAAAGCTAATACGTTATGCTGTTGGATAATAAGCTTATAAAACTCTGGTAGTAAAGAATATTTATTTGAGTAATTTTACTTGATACTTTACAGCTAATAGGGAAACTCTGAGTTCCTGTCATACATGATGGTCCTAATCAGGACATCCCTTGTTGCTCCCCCCCAGTGGCCCCGGACCTGGTGGTCAGTGCCCAGGCTGTGGAGCAGACCACCTACCTGGAGGACAGACCCATGTACATGCTGCAGTGTGCCCACGAGGAGCACTGTCTGTCCAGCAGCGCTGACACAGCAGAGCCCACCTCGTACCGCCGCCTGCTCCGCTTCTCCTCCCAGATCCACAACAACGGCCAGGCAGACTTCAGACCGCGGGCGGCCCACCACTCCTGGGTCTGGCACGAGTGTCACAGGTGAGACCTCAAAGAGCCCTCTGGGGCCTGATGTGTTACTACAAAGTGATTCACTGTTAATGTTAATGCTAGATGAAAGTATGGACCCCTAAAAGTGAAATGGAGAGGAACAAAATGTTTGGGGGGGGTGAAAAACATGTTATTTAAAAAGTTACCTTTGGTTAAGTTCATGGAGAAATCCACCCTGAAGGAAACACATTTGGAGCCTGGGGTAGAGGTGCACTTCAGCTTCATGTGGCTGAAATAAGTATTACACAAAATATGTTTTAAATTATCTGCCAACAAGGAAGAGACACAGATCTAAGCTTTCTTAAAGGCAATTAGAAATCCCAGCAAAATCTTTTTTTGTTCATTATTTTTCATTAGAAGATTCATCATTAGAAGAGGAAATATATTTACAATTTTAACAATTTAGATCAGATGTATTTTTGAAGTTCGTCAGATGTTTTCCTCTCTCTTACCTTTTAGTGCTTCGATATTGATGTCAAAGTGTCATGAATCAGTTGTGGGGAAAAACAATGTATGAATTGAATATATGAAGCTGAATTAAATCAAAGGAAACATTTGAATAATTACTTTCTTACTGTCATGGAAATGCCTATATCCCACTGACAATGAGCCTTTTCCCTTTCCTCCTGCTGTCAGTGCTGTTTGGAGTGGGCCATGGATGAGAGCATGTATGTTATTGTAGAGCTTCTAAATATATAAAAATATAGGATGATTCAACATTGTGTGTTTTTACTTGTCCAATCCAGACATTACCACAGTATGGAGGTTTTCACCCACTATGATTTGCTGACTCTAAACGGGACTAAAGTGGCAGAAGGACACAAAGCCAGCTTCTGTCTGGAGGACACGCACTGTGACGAGGGTAAATATCCTGTCTTCCCTTTTCCTTTTTATATCACGCTGTGGCTGAGTGTAGCTTCATGCTACTCAGTTCAGGTTTAACAGGATTTCCATAAGAAGAGAACACAGAGAAGAAAAATAATCTACAATGTAAAGATAGAAATCATAATAATAATTGCTCTGAACACTGACAGGTATCCAGAAGAGGTACGCATGTGCAAACTTCGGGGCCCAAGGCATCACAGTGGGCTGCTGGGATACCTATAGGCACGACATCGACTGTCAGTGGATTGACATCACCGACCTGAAGCCCGGCGACTACATCTTCCAGGTAAATCATTTGGTCTGTCAGTCTAGCCGTAGTTGATACAGCACATGTGGTGCTGGGAGGATGTCTCATCTCCAGCCAGCGTCGTCTTGGAGACCAAACAGGAACGTTCCACGTCTCGTCTGCTCTTGTCTGGCACTCAGCCCGAGGACACTCAAACTTTAACAGCTCAGCAGGGGCTGTGGAAGGACACAGAACATTCTGATGGACACTTTGGCTGCAGAAAGTGCATTTCCCTAAAAGCTATTTTTTCTGAATCCGTTGACATAATCTTTTTTGATATACCCTTCCACCTTCTTAACTGTCAATAACTTAGTTTGTATTATTCAGTCCTTAGTAGAGCTTAACAAATGTTTTATGTAAAGTGTAAGAGAATGTTTCTTTCAGACGTTTTTCTTCTCTCCCAGGTTGTGATAAACCCAAACTTTGAGGTTGCAGAATCAGATTACACCAACAACATTATGAAGTGCCGCTCCCGGTACGATGGACAGAGGATATGGACATACAACTGTATTATAGGTGAGAGCATTACGTCATCACGATCACCTCCTCATATAAGGGTTTAAATGATATTTACTACAATGGAAAACATCAAGCTCATTGGTGTATTCAGGCATAATTATAGAATACTTTTTCTTCATGAAAGCAATATTTTATTAAAAGGTAAAGATAATTCGCTTTGCAGAGCTTACTTATAGTTTTGAACCTAATATTTGGTATACTGACTTCATGTTCGTGTCCCCTAAAATAGTTTGTTTACTATCCACCTGATAAACACTTGAGATAAGATAATTAAGATTGAACAGTTTCATACAATAACAGGAAGTAGAGGCAACACAACAAAAGTGTTATGGTCCTAAAACTCTTAGAGTTCTCTCTCCTAGACTGTATGTTTATTTGATTTTTACGTCACTGAAGCTGCAATGAATTCAGATTATGCAGTATTAACTTAAACACTTAAAAAGTCTTCTCCTCCCTGAAATGACTCCGAAATGGTAACTGACAGAGTGCATAAAGGAGTACCACAGAACAAGTCCTGTACTTTCAACATCAGGCAGTCAAAAGATAAATGTTGTGAACATTTATTTCAGTACGACAACAAAATAAAATACTGAACATCTTTCTTTTACTAAATACAAACTTATACAATTGGTTTTATGGCATGTTAATGCCACTTACCGAGGCAACATTCAAAACGACAGTAACAGGTTCAAAGGACCGTACAGTCCGAGTTTCCAAAGCTCAACTTTAGTTGATCAAAAATCTTCCCTTTCTGTAAAGTGGCGTGAGACAGAACTTGAACACTTGGCCTCTGAGGCAACAATCCTGAAAGGTAGTTTCATGTTATTTATAAGAACAAATAAAACAACAGAACATCTCGATGGAACTTGTAGAAACAAATTAAAATACGTGTTTTAAATGAACGTAAACATTGGTAAATATGTATATAGTTCAGCATAACATTGCTGCTACATGTTTTTCTTAATGGCTGCATCTCTCAACTGGAACAGTGGCCATTGAGGCTGTTATTTTCAGATCTACATTACATCTGTCAGGTGGAAATGTGCAGTCAATATAAACATCTGGCTGTGTTGTACAGCTCACAATTTACATTTCTTTAACCAAATCCTGAGTATTAATCTGTCGAGGAACTCAACATTAGGTTAGAAAATAATGACTACTTGTAAAGAATTATACAACCAACCCTGCATAACCTGGGAGAACAAAAAAATCCCTGCCTGGAAAAAAAAACACTCCTAAAGCTTAGTTCCAAGAACACATGCAATCAAATCAAAACAAGCCGAGAGCTGCAGTTTTCTCCAGGGCCTTTTCCATATGAATTCCCTGTCATCATTGATCATCCACTCATGTCACAACAGGAATCTGAATACTTATGTCCAAAGGGTTCAGGTTCAGCTACAGAATAGGGACTGTGAGGCTTCAGCATTTGCTCATGAACACTTCAGCAGGATGGATGTTGCAGATGTGTGGCGCCCCCTCTCTGCACCATGCAAACATGCTTCTCTGATCAGTGAAGCAGGCAAACACTTCTGGACAGTTGTATCAAGATCAGTCAGCTGTTTGTGGCCCCAGTGGGGTCTCTACGGCCGATGAGTGGAGGCAGACCTCTGTTGGACCTGTAGATAATAGGATAGACTGTTCAATTATTTAAAAAGGGTGTTTCACAACGTGTTACAAAATATAACAAAAGGTTTCCCTGACATTAGGTATGTCATGAATCCTGATACTTTTCTAAAATCCTGTAAAAGTGAAGGTACTCTAATGTCTACAGCACTGTAGTACCATAAGGGCTCGAAACTAATGGCTTCCATTGGACTATAACAAATGTTTGGTACGTCACTAACTATTGACGCATCACATTTGATCACTAATAATTAGATTGTTACATTGAGAACAAGAAATTGACAAGGTTAGCTGTCAGCAGTCGGTGAGCAAAGGTTTTGCAGAGTTGCACCATGGTGCGTTCATGCTCCATTCTGTAAAAATGGAAGTGTAGATAAATTGAAATGTTATCATGATGTCTTGAAAACATTTTGAATCTGTTTCCACGAAACTTAAATACAGTTTTAGACAAACAGCATTTCCAACACAATATAAATAGATTATATTAGATATAAAGAGGGAATTATGTCCCAAAAGAAAAACAGGATGCAAGCTGGTAATAAAGGAGTGTTTGTTAAAGTACATGGGATTTATTATTGTTTGTGTATCATTTTTTACCGTGGTATCAAGAGTCGTGGAATATCACTGGTATTGGTTTTGACTACTACATTCAGGGCCGGCCCGTAGCACTGGCGTTATAGATGTTCGCCTAGGGCGCCAGATCTGGGGAGGCGCTGCGCTGGTAGAATTTTTGACCGTTGGGGCTCATCCTAATTTTCGGCCTTGATGTAACAATATTCATAATTAAGTAAATGTAACACCCTTTTCACACCGGTTACACTTTTCATTTGCCCTGTACGATGGGCGCTGTAAGTGATGAAAATGGGGGGTGTTGGCTTATCAGGCACTCGCAGCTCACAGCCAAAGTGCGAGTGAGCGAGCGAGGGAGAAAGGAAGGGCGCACTGGTACCGGCGCTGTTGTTATTAGAATCTGGTGCTAGCTGCTCTAACGGATATAAGAAGAAAATGTTTCTACAATAATGTGGAGGGAGAGTCCTCTCCTGTCAGACTGAGAGGCTGATAATTACAGCTCAGTGAGGTAAGGACTCTGAGTTTTTAGATAGTTAACTTTAGTCTAACTTCTCAGTGGGTCAGAAACGTTTTGATCACAATTTATGTAAACACATATTTCCAAGGCACTCCTTTATAATTATTGGAATAAACAGGTTTGAAATCATTTCAATGTATACTATAGGACAGTAACCAAAAATATCGTTTAAAACTGGAGAGATAATGAATAAATAAATGTTGATGGGTGAAATAAGATATGAAAGAACAACAAATAAAATAAGTTACATGTATTTGTTATTGGCTATGGTAGGTTGTTGGTTATGTTCACATACTTATTTGATTATTCAAAGCGCACAAGATTGAAGAATTTACTTTAAAATGTTCAAAGAAATCTTCCCGGGGGGGCATACCCCCGGACCCCCAGAGAGGATGTGACATCCATCCCCCATTCTATTGTGTATTCCTTGGATACTCTATTGATCTTCATATTTTCTACTGTACGATTCTCTGGCTGGGGTGCCAGCTAAAATCTCGCCTAGGGCAGCAAATTGTCTAGAGCCGGCCCTGACTACATTCATGCTGTCTTGACATCCCTTGTGCACATTTCCAATCAATTGTAAATCCAATGTTTTATAGTGTCATAGATGTCCCTCATCATATCAGGGAGGAAGTTATTGTCAGAATGGTTTGTTTGGATGGTGCAGTTCCTAAAGACACAGTACTGCTCTTGTCTTATCGTCCTCTCTGTCTTATTCACAGGTGGCTCACGCAGTTCAGAAACAGAGGAAACGTTCCCCGGATTGCACGACAACCAGCTTTCCCGAAGGTAGACCAAACTTGGACAACACAGACGGACATTAGGGAAGCATATATTGATATTTGACAACCACTAGAGGGAGCTGTACTCTTTTTGCCTCCTTGGAGCCATGCTGGATTGTCGTCGGGCTCCGGGCTCAGATGGTACAACGGACAATGATTCAGTGAGAAAATGAACTGCTTGCTTACCAAATCTGTAAACCAAATTTAGCTTTACGAAAGTGTCCATATGGTGTCTTGGTGCTCTTATTGAAATAAAGATGTCGACCTGGTGCTCACTGGCAGAGCCGTCAGTGTGGGTTGAAGCCAAATAATTTATTTAATTAACTGTGCCAACAGTTGTCCCCTAAGCCAAATAGAGCTTTAACTCAAATCCATTAGAGGAGACTCATGTTGTGTTTGAGGGGGAGGAATGAAAACAGTCAAACCTGGTGCTACAACGAAAGGTTTGCTTTCCCCAAAACAGTGTAATTGAAATACGTTTTGGTTGAATCCTGTTTGTTTGCACAGTATTGGATAGTAAAACGTTTTTTAACAAAAAACTGAGAGCAAATACATAATGGGTATGATTACTATAGAGCAGCATGGCACAGTCATTGCAACGACACAAAGAGTGGCTACCTGTAACCAAAACTGTAATATAGGCTCCCTGAAGTTGGATTTATTTTTATATTTCTAGTGCTGAACACAGTATACTAGTCTATACATTTCTTAAATTGGTTCCCTTCAGTATTTTTGACAACCAGTCAATATATTTAGTGATAAATTGTCTGAATTAAGTGGGAATGTTCTTTTTTTCTTCCAGGATTTTGTATTCCACATACTTGAGTTCGCTCTTAAAAATGTTTTATTTATTATTGGTTGTTTTTAGCAAACGCATTTTCATCATCTGTGCATCCCCCCAGCTTCTGTCTCAGTTTACGTACTAATTTCTCCGTCAGGGACTATGATAACATTGTGGATGTGCTGTCAAAGCCACAGATGTTTGTGAAAAATCCTCCTCTTTAATTTGTGAATTTAATGTAACAAATGCAAGGATCCTTCATTTTTTAAAGAGTACTTGTTGCTTGCTGTCTGACTGATTATGTTTTGTATGCAAGGATGAATGTGGCAAAGCCTTACATTTATGAAATAAACAATATTGTTGAAAGCAAAGAGACTCCAGTAATGTGACATTACAGTGCTGCTGCTGATGGTTTGATGTGTGTAATGTTTCATGTTCTCAATGACGTAAAATAGTTAGTCAAAGATGAAAAAGTCCTCAAGAGACTCTACAATTCTTTCTTTGTAGACTTAAATTGCCTCAAATGTAATGTGTCAGTTGTGATAATGTGTTTCACCTTTATTAGCCCAAAGCATTTGTGATTCCCTTCAATATCGCTTCGCTCTGCCCCGTGCCTGCAGCCCCAGCGCTCTGGTCACCATCCGCCTGGCAACAGCACAGTCTGTCCGGGGACGCTCCTTCACTGGCTGGATAAACTCTGGGAGACGACACAGAAATAACCATCTGATCCACATCATGAAAATACCAATAATTAGGTTTAGTTGTATGGCCCTTATCAACCCAGCAAAGTTCTTTACAACAATACATATAACACAACAATGATTCATTAATGTTGGAATGATTAGGAAAACATAAGAGGGAGAAGAAAATGGCTTAAAAACGTGATTCTAAGCCCCAAGTTGGCAGGAGAACTCTAACTAAAGTCCTTGGTTGCGGTCGAATAGTCCATTTAGCTTAGGAACCTTCCGGAGTGAAATGACCCGGAAGTACCTCAGTGGCAGCCATGATAAGAGCCGTTCGAATTCTCTAGATCAGGGGTTCCCAACCTTTTTTCCCAAGAGCAAATGACTCCTGTTGGAAATGCGCTTATCCAGAAAAGCCCGGTTTGGACACTTTACAGGCAGAAGAAACATTTCTATTAAAGAAAGAATTATACATTTGTGTTTTTATGCCTTTAATAGCTACTAACTTCAATTTTTATTCAAATAATTAATCAATTATTTTTTATATTTTTACTGTAATGTAGAGACAAGGCTTGTAGTGACAATCATGTATTGCGTTACAATTATATGTAAAAAAAAAAAGTCTAAATATGATATTTGGCCCAGGTTGGGAACCACTGCTCTAGATGATACGAAAGGAGGTTTCAAACTTCCTTTATAACCTCCTTTAGCTTAGGAACCACTGGACCTCCCTTGACGAAAGGAGAGGAGAAAATGCTGCCCCACAATGCCTTGCAGCTGGACGTGCCTGGAACACCTCCCTAGGGAGGCGCCCAGGTGGCATCCTTACTAGGTGCCCGAACCACCTCAACTGGCTCCTTTCGACGCGAAGGAGGAGCGGTTCAACTCCGAGTCCCTCGTATTTATGTAATAAATGCAAAAAAACTGTAGTTTTAGTCTATGATGTAACAATATTTATACAACTTTATAAGCTATCAAGCTATCAAATGTGTTTTGCGGCTCCAGACAAAAAAGATTAGTGGAAAAGGGGGCAGAATGGCTCTTTTGGTCAAAAAGGTTGCAGACCCCTGGTTTAGTGGATCACATACCTGCCCTCCTGGTGGCCTTGCCTTTGGATTTTTTACTCGCTTCAGTCAGTGCTCTCGTCTTCAGCGTCGGATGGCAGATGGAGAGAGCATGGAGTGCTGCACATAACATTTATCAACGTTAGTACATTTTGTAATGATTCTATCTTCTAAACTTAATCCCAGCACTACATGTATTGTGCAGTGAGGAGTTATACCTGCTGTCTCACTGGAGAAGACCCCCAGGGCGTGTGTGTCGTCCACCCACTCGATCTTTATCCCACCATCACTGCAACACACAGGAAAGCACGTGTGGACACTGGCAGCTGGACCAATTGTTTGAGGTTTTAATTGACTGACTACAGACATTCAGGAAAGCCCTTAAACTTTATATTTGAGAGTAAATACAGAAACATATCTAATCCACAGTTGAAAGAATAGATAAACTTGGAACCTGAGGTCCCCTGAACTAGAGTAGAAAAGCTACTGAGATAAAATGAACCATCTGTAGAGAAGTTAAGGATCTTAAAGCGCTGCTCGCACCTGTATTCTGCGAAAGCATCCAGGAGGTCATCCGTTTTGAAAAAAGCAGGAAAGTCATAGATCTCGATCACATGGCAAAGCTTTTCCGGGCTGATGCACACGTTCTCATAAATGGAGTAGTCGTTGTGAACATGCTGAATGGAAACAGTCACCATGTCTTTCAGATGTGCCTTGATCTGATAGAAAGAACACAGATAATGAATTACAATATACAGTATGTTGCTAATGTTGCATCCACATCTCGCCATATCCCAGTGTTTCCCCTATATACAAATAGTGGCGGCGCAGTGCCAGCCAGGTAACCAAACAATTTTTTTAATTAAAATCATAATAAGTGGCGACCCTTTTTTATTTTTTATTGTTTGTTATGTGGATTTGTAGTATTTGTGTTACTGTATGTTCAATAAAGGTGTATTTTTGTTAAATCTTGAGACATTGCCACTGTATGTACTGGCAGGGCCGATTTTTGGCCTAGGGCGCCAGATCTGGGGGGCGCTGCGCTGGTAGCTCTGGGAGGGGAAAAAACATTTTTGACCGTTGGTGCTCATCCTAATTTTTGGCCTTGATGTAACAACATTCATAATTAAGTAAATGTAACACCCTTTTCACCCCGGTTACACTTTTCATTTGCCCTGTACGATGGGCGCTGTAAGTGATGAAAGTGGGGGATGTTGGCTTATCAGGCGCCCGTAGCTCACAGCCAAAGTGCGAGCGTGGGAGCGAGAGAGCGAGGGAGAGAGAGAGAGAGGGCGCACCGGTACCGGCGCTGTTGTTATTAGAATCTGGTGCTAGCTGCGCTAACGGATATAAGAAGTAGATGTTTCTACAACCATGGTGGAGGAGAGCTCTCCTGTCAGACTGAGAGGCTCAGTGAGGCAAAGGACTCTTGAGTGTTTAGATAGTTAATATTAGTCTAAGTTATCTCAGTGGGTCTCAAACAAATATGTGTTTACAAATTATGAAAACACATATTTCCAAGGCACTCCTTTATAATTATTAGGATAAATAAAAACAGGTTTGAAATCATTCCAATGTATACTATAGGACAGTAAACCAAAAATATCGTTTAAAGTTAGAGAGATACAAAAATATGCATAAATAAATGTTAACTAGGTAAAATAAGATATAAATGAGCAACAAAAATAAAATAAGTTAACATTTATTTGTTATTGGCTACGGAAGGTTATTGGTTATGTTCACATACTTATTTGATTGAGTGTACGCAATCTTGTTTAATATAATTATTGTGAATTGTGTTGTTTTTAATCCTATTGTTAGTGTCTTGCAGCTGATGAAAACCACCAGCCTATATAGATGTGTCAGCTAATTGCCTTAAACACCCCTCAAACCCTGAGGGATGTTTAAGGAGGCCACTTAATTTAAAGTGGACCTATCATGCTATATTGGAAAAATATATTGTATGGCCATACCTATACAAAACATGTCAGTGAAGTTTTTTTTTCAAAATACCAAACAGATCACCCATTGTAGCCATGCCTCATACTGCTCAAACCCCTCTTTTGAAGCCCTGTTAGAGAAACGCGGCTCTTGGGTCCTTAGCTTGATAAAAAAGAACGAAGCGGAGGCGGAGCTAATGCCTGATCAGAATTCTACCGGAGATAAAGTTAAATTCGGTTGTGATAAAACGCCATCCTGTTTAAACCACGTCAAGGATTATTTCTGAAATAGTATGGAGCTCAAAGCGATAGAGAATAGAAATCCTAGGCTAAATAGTTTCTGGTGCTTCCTCGCGTCCAGCTACGTCACTGTCATGTCAAATGATGGTGCTTGATGGAGGAAGAACAATAAATGTTAGGCTAATAATTCTTAGTAAATACAGCACACACTGAGGAACTTATTACTTTGACTAAATTACAATCAACATTGACTGGATAAAAACATAAGGTGGAAAACTTTCCATTCAATGTAATATGAGTGTTTATCCCCAAAAACATGAAGAACAGATGATAAAAATATTCATTTGTTTATCGTTAAGACATAAAATAAGATTAATAGAAAAAGCAGGCGTACCTCTTCAGTCGGGTCATCTGGGTCGGTGCATATGTCTTCACTGCCCTTCTCATCCTCCTCCAGAGTGATGTTCCTGAAGCAGGACACGGTCTGTTCCCAGTCTTCAGCCTCAGCTTCATGAAGGGTCAACACCAACGGTTGCTCCTCTTCCTGAGGACAATGTGCTGAACAGTCAGCACTGTGGTTAATAGCTGCTACACACGGGAGACATTCCTGTCGGGATGAAGCTGATTTTTCTGTATTTTCAGGACAGAAACAAGAGTCAGAAGAACTGCTGATGCAGCTACAGCTACTTGAGACTGGCCCCGGGGACCCTTGCTCTCCCGAGGGTCCTGGTGAGTTTCGTAGAGAGAGCCTCTCCCGAGCAGCTCGTGGCATGTAGAGGGGTTTGTCCGGTCTCTTAGGTCCTCTGCTTCGAGATGGGACTGAAGATTTAGGCTTGGCGTTGCCATCCAATTCCTCCCTGCTTCTTAGGGGCTCTTCACAAAAGCTGTTGTTGCCTTCCAAGTCCTGGTCTTCTTCAACCTCAGCCCTACAGAAAAGCACAAATGTCTTATTTATCAAAAATGTAAAACTTGAAAAGCCACTTAGGCCCAATCCCAAACCACTCCCTCGACCCTACCCCTCCGTGACGGAGTGAACTCCGTCTGTAGCCACACTCGCAGCTCAACGAGGCTCCCTCCTGTCAGATGGAGGGAGTAAACACAGCAGCAAGCTTTGGGACAAACTCCCCTCTCTCCAGCAGAAACAGGAAATGCCGTAACTGTATGTAACAACGGTTTCAAATCAGCATCTCTTAGACAAAACATGTAAACTCAAATAAAACTCCAAACATCTTTCATTGTGTTACTTTTTTGTAAAGCTCTTTTAGTTTTAAACCTGATGTTTATAAGCTTCTTAGTTTTTGCAACAGTCTGTAAATATACACAACTTTATAATAAAATGCACACATTTACCTTTTTCTAGACTAAACACAGGTACGATCCTAAGTTAAAACATATGAGGTTATCATGAGGTTGTTAACATCGCAGTTTATCAATGGATGTTTGCTGGAACTACTTGTTAACAGCTTGTTTCCTGACAGACACACACAGCGTTGAGACGGGTCAGGTAGAGACCGGTCTCAAGTCAGCACCGATGCAGACTCGCTGTTTGAGGGCTTGATAGCCCACTCCCCCTCCACACCGCTCCACACTCGTTGGTTTGGAACAGCCCTCAATATGGCAGACCCTAAGCGTGAACGCGCAAACGGAGGGGTAGGGTGTAGGGGTAAGGGTGTAGGGGGCGGTTTGGGAATGGGCCTTAAACTTAAGGAAAGAGGAACTACAGCAAATGGTACATTCTGAGCAATATATTGTACTGTATCAGAGATGTTTATTGCACATCAAATTAAAAAAGCTCTATATTCAGTACCTGAGCTCCAGATGGCAGACCACCACCCGACGGCACCAGCTGTCCCCGACTGAGAAGGTGGAGAGTTCTGGCAGGTCCTCTACGGTCCGGTGGATCAGGTACCGCAGTCTGCTGGGCAGAGGGGGGAACAGGAGCATACTGGACGGGACACGGAGGGCAGAGGTAGACAGTAAGGTCATGTTTTTTCAACAGCATAAAAAATATAACAAAAATCCCAAACATTTAAATGCAATCACAGACATCTCTATATAAAAGGTCTAAATTAACAGTTCAAATTCACCCATTATGATGAGATACTAAAGTTAAGTTAAAGCTCTTTTTAAGTCACATCCTTTTATCTCTTTTTTTGTTCCATTTTAAATCCAGAAATTATTTTTATGGTTGTAGCTCCTACTTTAGCTCCTAGATTTGTCTGAATCTGTGGTTTGGCTTCTGAAAACTAAATTTCTTTAGGCGGGTTTATTTGAACTAAATAAATAATTTAATAATTGTCCGAGTACCATGCATATGTATTTGTGTATGTGTGGTGTGTCGTATGGATTGGTTTGTTTGGTTTATCTCACTTGTGAGGCCTTTCACTTCTATAGTGATTAGTATTATTGTAGTAAACATTTATGAATGAGGATAGAGGGATTTTCGTTTCTTGTTGCTGGCGAGGACAAGTTAATAACTGTAACAGAATATAAAACTAATGAAATGTAAGAATGTTAAGCCTGTGACTTCTGTCGTGTTCTCCGTTATGGTTCATTCCTACGGTGTAATGGTCGTAGCCTTACCTCTTGTGGTTGCTCTTCTGTACGTATGTTTCCAGCTCCTCCTTGACATAATGCAGGAATTGATTTTCTTGCTTAGGGAGATAAAGGCCATCGAAACACGGAAACGCCAGGGTGGACAGAAGAAAGGATCCTGTGGTCGGAGAGATGAAGTTAGCTTTATACTGAACTGCAGAGGTGGAGAAAGTACTTGTATCTTGTACTTGAATAAAAGTTGCAATACCAGTGTATGAATACTCTGTTAAAAGTAAAAGTCAGATGTCCCATTTTCTAATAATATATATATTTTGATTGTAATTATTGATGCATTAATGTATTTACCACAGCTGGTAAAAGGTGTAGCTCAAATACATTAATTTGCTAAGTGTAAGGTAGCTTGTGGATTTATTTATTAAGGTATAAAACAAATGTAGTGGAGTAAAAGTGTACTATTTACAGCTGAATTGTAGTGGAGTACAGGTATAAAGTAGCCAACACTCAAGTAAACTACTAATAGCTCAAAATTTTAGTTAAGTACAGTACTTGAGTAAATGTACTTGGTTACATTACATCTGATCTAACGTTATCCAAACGGTTTAAAAAAAACATCTATCGTTAGCCAAATACAAATTCACTATGGCAACTGTAGCCAGTAACGTTAGCTAGCAACCAGAGTGAGAAGTGACAATACCTAGATTACTTAAAAGTAAATAGAGCAGAAAGCGTGCTGGTTATAATGTGTGTTTATGTCAAACTAAAACAAAAGTTAGCAACTTAAAACACAGCTAACATAATCTGGTTAACGTTCACTGTTGTTGTACTGGACGTTAGCTAAAGCTTGTAGTAACTCGAGCAGGCTCACCGTTATGGTAAAATTATCTTTGATTTGTTTTTGGACTTGAATTAAGTGAGTTTAAGTAATGTTGTAGCCGTAGAGAGCGAAGATGACTGCAAATACAGCTATAGGCAGCAGTGTATCAGTAGTTAGCTTGAAGTATTTAGCTACCGGAAGCAGATGTTTGTTGTTTTCAGGCGTTCCTTCAGGACCAGCATGACATCCGGTCAGATTTGTTCACAATAAAAGCTACTTTATACAAATCTAGTTAAACTAAACCCACTAATAGTTGATGTGTTCATAATTACTCAAACAAAATACCATTGGTGGAAGATGTATTCCGAATTTTTACTGAAGTAAAATTGCCAATACATTAATGATAGAAAACTCCATTACAAATAAAAGTCCTACATTCAAAACCTTACTTAAGTAAAGTATGGAGGTTTTATCAGAACAATGTACTTAAAGTATGAAAAGTAAAAGGAGTAATTCTGCAGACAACAATAAACCTCCATGTGTGATTTATTTTCATATATGACATTGTTAGATTCTATGATAGGCCATTATTGTTGCATCATTTTTGCTCTAAACAAAGTTTTGACACAAAACATTATTGACTTTCTGTTTTATATATCATATTCCACTTTTTTTTTACCTTTACCAGTTAGTCCACAAGTTTATACTTTAACAGTATAACAAAATTCCATCTGAGATATAACGGAGTATAAGAATGAAGTAGCATTAAATTACTCATGTAAATTACAAGCCCTACAAAATTGTTCTTACGTACAGTAGGCTACTTGAGTAAATGTACTTATTTACTTTCAACCAAATACCGATGTTTGAACCAATTGCCCCATAGAAATGCAATTTATTTTTCTTCAAGCCGTATGCACTCTGATATTTGAAATAAAGTCAAACTCAAGGAGCTATAGGCCTACATATTTCAGGAAAACGTAAATGTATTCAGAGTATAGGTTTAGTGGATCACATACCTGCCCGCCTGGTGGCCTTGCCTTTGGATTTTTGACTCGCATCAGTTAGTGCTCTCGTCTTCATCGTCGGATGGCAGATGGAGAGAGCATGGAGTGCTGCACATGACATTTATCAATGTCAGTTCATTTTTTAATAATTATATTCCAAGCACATGTATTGTGCAGTGAGGAGTTATACCTGCTGTCTCACTGGAGAAGACCCCCAGGGCGTGTGTGTCGTCCACCCACTCGATCTTCATCCCACCATCACTGCAACACATAGGAAAGCACGTCAGGACACTGGCAGCTGGACCAATTGTTTGAGGTTGTAATTGACTGACGACAGACATTCAGGAAAGCCCTTAAACTTTATATTTGAGAGTAAATACAGACAAATATCCAATCCACATTTTAAAGAATGGATACACTTGGAACCCGAGGTCCCCTGAACTAGAAAAGCTACTGAGATCAAATGAACCATCTGTAAAGAAGTTAAGGATCTTAAAGCGCTGCTCGCACCTGTATTCTGCGAAAGCATCCAGGAGGTCATCCGTTTTGAAAAAAGCAGGGAAGTCATAGATCTCGATCATGGCAAAGCTTTTCCGGGCTGATGCACACGTTCTCATAAATGGATAGTCGTTGTGAACATGCTGAATGGAAACAGTCCCCATGTCTTTCAGATGTGCCTTGATCTGATAGAAAGAACACAGATAATGGATTACAATATACAGTATGTTGCTAATGTTGCATCCACCTCTCGCCATATCCTCTTGCTAGTTAGCCAAACCACTGTCAAATGTACATCCTCTGCACTCAGATCTTGAGTTTATTTCGCAATCTTTCGGAAATCTAGCGAGTTTAAAAAAAGAAGAGAAAACAAGGAATGTTTTTTTGGTTACCCCCTGTGAAGGCTACAAGCTTCACAAACAAACACATGCTAAAGGTTATGCTTTTTGTTCAGACATATACAGACACATTTATTTGAAACAACTTTATTTTTACAAGAGTGCACGCAATCTTGTTTAATATAATTATTGTGAATTGCGTTGTTTTGAATCCAATTGTCAGTGTCTTGCAGCTCACCTTGCTCCTGGCAAAAGGCTGCGCTGATGAAAACCACCTGCCATATAGATGTGTCAGCTAATTGGACTACGCCTTAAACACCCCTCAAACCCTGAGGGGTGTTTAAGGAGGCCACTTAATTTAAGCCACCTGTTTGTAGAGCCTCTTCCCCCTGCACTCAACAATGGACTGGCCGGCATTGGTATAAATGCCTGCAGTGAGAGGAAGGCTGTGTATGTGAGTTGCTCTTGGATAGAAGAGCACACAGAAAGTCACCCATTTTGGTTTTTGTTTGTTCATTAATGCTAGATTGTATCTGTATATTTGATTAATAATACACCTTTTTTTCATCCTAATTGATTTTGTAACCCATCCTAAAACTGTGTAGGCCTATATGTATATATATTTTTTTTTTTCCACATCAACCTGCATTACTAGTTTTTGCATACCCTGGCTTCATACCCCCTGACCCAGCGATAGAGAATAGAAATCCTAGAAATTGACTTTCTGTTTTATATATCATGTTCCGTTTGCTTGTACCTTTACCAGTTAGTCCACTAGTTTATACTTAAACAGAACATAACATTTTCCATCTGAGATATAGCTGAGTAGAAGTATGAAGTAGCATTAAATGAAATTACTCATGTAAAATACAAGCCCTTCAAAATTGTACTTAAGTACAGTACTTGAGTAAATGTACTTAATTACTTTCAACCAAATACCGATGTTTGAACCCATTGCCCATACAATGAAATGTATTTTCTTCAAGCCGTATGCACTCTGATATTTGAAATAAAGTCAAACTCAAGGAGCTATAGAAATTTCAGGAAAACTTAAATTTATTAAGATAAAACAAAACGAAATTTTTAAAGAAAAGTACACAAGGTGTATCAAACACCAACAATAGCAATCATATGTGGGAATGAGTGTTTAAGGTTTCTGTGGTGGTTTTTTGATAATATTCAAAAAGGGTAAGACATTCGCAATATCGATGGTGAAACAGGACTATTGTACTATGACACAGACGGACATTTCTTAAAATGTACTTGGTGACGCTGTTACATTGTGATGGACTTATTAACAGTACCCACGCTCTTTCTTCACTCACAAACAAAACCAGTTGAAGAAGACAGCATGTTGCACAAGACCAAAAAAGTCACATTCATGCACAGACAAGAAAACATTTGCCTCAACAAAGGCTACAACCAGCATGTAAATACTGTGAAGCACTGCCCATAACAGGAAAACTGTTTACAGACTGTGCCAACAACTCTATTCCTACATATTTCTTATTACAGTTTGACTTTAGATTATCGACATAAAATGATTTGCAAGTCAAAAATCACTTATATATACCATGGTCAAAAAGCATTTAACACAATGGCACTATTAATAAAGATCAATTGATCAATTAGGACATGATTTATACATCACCAAATGTATAAAAACACATTCATAAACATAACGAGGGATAGGCAGACAGTAAAGTACTTAAATAACAGATATAAGTATCAGATCAAATGTATATACATTAATTCAGGTTAAGCAGAAAGCTGAATATGTGCTGCCAGAAAGATGCAAGGTATCTGGTCGGAGTAATCAGCCTTTACAGAGAGGTACAAAGAGGGGGAAAAAATTACGTTCGCATTAAAATAGCCAAAACATAGAGACAATGGAGTTTACCTTGTTGTTTCTTTTTATGTTTTGGCTATATGGTAGTAAATATAGAATCATTTATTGTCATTATACAGGTACCATGAGATGAGTAGAGTTACTCCTTTTGTATGTAATGATTAAAAATAAGTCAATTAAAATGGGTCAGATATCATATTGACTGCGTATTAAAAAATGATAATCTTAAAACAAAGTTCATGGCTGAAAGTTTTAGGAAGGGAACCTCTAGAAAAATCCTAATTTATTGATGGTGGCCCTGCACTCGAGTTTAAAAGATTTTGTTCCAATCCCCCCCTCACAAGAGTCCGACTCTTCATTTGAAATACGCCAGAAGGACTCTCTTCTGCCAGGTTCTTTATCTTCCAGAGCCAATACTTCGCTCTTCAAAGATGGTAATTTCAACCTAGAAGATAGAAAGTTAAGGAAAAAACACATTGCAAATGAACATTTTCTTATATTTTCAAAAAAGTACTTTTCTTAGAATACAAAGCGTTACACCAGGTATTATTTACTACCTCATTTATTGGGCTATGTATCATATTTCCTTACGGATTAAAAGACACTATTTAATTTTAAAGTAAAATTAGGCACATTTTAAAGAATAACCTGGCCAAGTTTGTAGATTAAAATATTTCATAGACGAATAAGGATACGACTCTGAGGCCTCTCTCTATGGGGTCTGTCAACAGCAAGCCTCTGGGAGCGTAAATCTTTTCATTCTGGTCCTTGATGTACCGGGCAATCTTCTTTAAAACCTGCACACAGAAAGACACATTGATTTGTATATCTGTTCAACCAGAGACATAAATATGAGCCAATTGATACACATAATTATATTAAAGCAGTTTTACCTTTTCATAGTGTGTCTCCATACAGAGGAATATTGTGTAGGCAGTTATACAAGCCAGACATCCTTCCAAATATGACTTCCCTCCTAGTTTCTCTGCTTCTGCATACAAGTTGTTAAGAGTCTGGATGGTTTCCTCAAACTGCTGCTTATCAATCTGAAACAATGCAAATATTTAATTTATTTAGACACTTTCTTTTAACATTCAGTCAATAAATCATTACATGGATGTAAACACAGTACGCACCCTAGGCTCCAGTTCAGAGGGAAACTTGGTATGGAACTTGGAGATGGTTCCTGAGCCGTAGTCTCTCTGGACGAACACCTTGGAAGAGGCAGTTGGCTGCTGAAGGTCCTGTAAACTGTGGGTCTGGGGCAGAACAACATCAACAATGAGGAGGATGCTTTCTTTCATGAAGAATATCTTTCTTAAGGATTTGAACAGTAGCAGCTACTGTAATGCCAGCTGCAATGTAATCAGAGGCGGGAGAAGTACTCAGCATTTAAGTAAAAGTAGAAGTACCATACTGTAGGAATACTCTGTTATAAGTAAAAGTACAGCATTCAGTTTGCAGATTGGTCCATTTCAAAATAATATATATCAGATGTTTTGATTATAATTATTATCAAAGCTGGTAAAGGTACAGCTAGTTTTAATGACTGTATTTGCTACAGGGTAGCTTGTGAATTTACTCCAGGTGTAACTAAAGTCTTATTTAAGGGTTGATTATTTTTCACATCATTAATCCAAACGTGCAAAGTAACTAAAGGTATTATAGTGGAATTAAAGTACACAATTTACCCCTGAACTGTAATGGAGTAGAAGTACAAAGTAGCAAAACATTGAAATACTAAAGTAGAGTACAAATCCCTCAAAATTGTACTTAGTTACGTTATACCACTGTTAATCATTAGACTAATTTAATCATGCTAAGGTTATTAACAAGCCAACAGCTACCACCAAATATATCGGTTTTAGATGTAATTGATATCCGATGAAAATTATTCCTTCTGTTGACAATGTTGATTTAGGCTACTAAACAAACATGAATCATATTACAATATAAAAGTATAAAATAATGTTTAGTACAGCGATCCACTAATAAGGGTAACGTTAGCTAGCTTCGTTAGCTTACGTTTGCTGACCGATCCGCTGAAGCAGTATGAATGGCTAGGTTAGCATTTATCGTCAACCAATATAAATAACTAATTCTAACATTGTTAAATACCCAGGCATCCAATCACCTGTCATCATATTATAACGAATAAAACCACAAAAACCTTACCTCAGCCATTGTGGATATTTCCCTACAGCTGCTACACAACTACGCCCCAGCTCAATCGACTTCCGGTGTTTTATTTTCAGAATAAAAGTAGAACTAGACACATCAAGTCCCTCACTTGGTTAATCCCTATACATCTTAAACTGCACATTATAATTAAAGCGTTTGAGCCATAGACTGTATATATAAAGATCTGAGCACTGAAATGTGCTTCATATATATCACGCGTTATCATCATCAAACCCCAAGCATATTGTTATGGTCTCAGGCTCGAAAATGACATTCCCAGAACAAATGACTATATCTTCACTTCTAAAAGGGATAAATTAATAATCTTTGTTCTCAAAGCAATGATAAACCTGTGAGTTGGATGTAGAAAAGTCAGAATCAATATAGATGTTTTTATTTTTAAAGTAAATTCAGATTGAACATAGTAAAAAAATGTAAATTATATTTTCCTTCCAAATAAAAACATTAGCCTACTTATAGTGAAAACCGCCCTTGCATGATGGGATAGTAGACTAAAAGCTTTAGGAATCCAAACTATAATATATAATAAGTACCCTGTATCAAGATTTATGCAAAACAAGTGCAATTTGACCTTTTTAGAGAGGTTTAGAAAAAAAAACACCTCTGGGGTCATTTGGGTGTATTTGCCATATCTCTCTAGAACCCATTGGTCGATTTTGATGATTGACACCTCTTTTTAACCGTTAGACCCAATAGAATCGAGGGGAAGTTCCTAAATCCATCTAAATATTACCATTGGTGAATGAGAGTGATGCACAGCCAGCATGCCCAAACCGAAAGCTACGTTACGCT